ACCTTATTTCATAATGGAACAATAGGAATTTAGCAATTGCTTAGACAAAAAACTTTTATTTTTAAATACCCAAAATTCTATCAGATTCAATGAATTCTAGAACTATTAACTAGAACTAAATTCTACATAGAAAAGTTCTAACAATAAAGAAACCCTCAAAAGATTTCTAAATACAGTTATAGTAGTCAAATTTTGGTTTAAAAACTTAATTTGCCAATTTCTTTATTGATATTAAGTTCAAAATGACTCAAATGCAGTTTTCAAACTTTGAGGATACAGGCACAGAATGTTTAAGGTATGCTATAAACTTGAAGATAAAAGTATTAGCCTAATGCTTCAAACAAATAAAAGAGGAATCATTATTACCTTAGCTAATGAAGCAAGGTAGTTGGTAGTGCAGCTTGCCTTGGAGACAACGTCAAGGTCAGGTTTGCAATCCCTCTCATTGACACCAAAAACAAACATGGGGGCATCTTTATTGCGAGCAGAAATGATCATCTTCTTTGTACCACCCTAAAATTGGAAAAAGCATAATCAAGATAAGAATACCAAGCATAACATGAACATAAGAAAAAAAAAAGTTCCAAGCATACAACTTTCCTTGCGTCTTGATAAACAAAAGAATGTTAAATCCAATAAACTTTCTTCCTCTATGGCTATAAACTAAACATATGATTAAATTATTATCACAAACCTTTAAGTGAGTAGCAGCCTTGTCCTTGTTAGTGAAAACACCAATAGACTCTACGACGTACTCAGCTTTAGTCTCACCCCATGGGAATTCCTCAGAGTTTCTAATATTAATCAAAAGCTAATCAATAAAATAGTTTCTACAAGGTAAAACTCACTATGCTTTTCAAGTTAATTACAAATCTTTTTCAAAAGAAAACGAAAATAGTACCGGATGCCAAAAACAATGGTAACCTTTTCCCCAAAGAAAAGAGTCTTTGAGTCTTTTACCTTAACCCCATGATGCTTCCATTGATCATGAACACTGTCATACTTAAACATGTAGGTCTGTATAGATACAATTATCAAATCACATCCATAATCAAATCATTAAGTAACTAATCAAAATGATTATTCACTTTCACTCATTCTTTTCATTAGACATCTGTGGTAAGCTCAGTTGATCCAGTTTTGAAACAAATAAAAGAGGAATCATTATTACTTTAGCCAATTGAGCAAAGAAATTGGTAATGTAGCTTGCATTGGAGACAATGTCAAGGTCAGGCTTGTAATCCTTCTCACTGACACTAAAAACAAACATGGGTGCATCCTTGCTGAAAGCAGAAATGATCCTCTTTTTTGTACCACCTTAAAATACAAAAAAGCATAACTGAGATAAGGATACCAAGCATAACATGAAAATAATGAAAAAAATAAGTTTCAAAATACAACTTTCCTTATGTCTTGATAAACAAAAAAATGTTAATTATAATAAATTTTCTTCTTATATAGCCATAAAATAAACATATGATCAAATTATTATCACAAATCTTTAAGTAAGTAACAGCCTTATCCTTGTTAGTGAAAACATTGGTAGACTCTACAACGCACTCAACTCTAGTCTCACCCCGTGGAATTCCTCAGGGTTTCTAACATTAATTGAAAGCTAATCAATAAAATAGTTTTTATGTGGTAAAACTCACGATGCTTCTCAAGTCAATTACAAAATCTCTTTCAAAAGAAAACAAAAACAATGCCTAATGTTGAAAATGATGATAGCCTTTTCCTTAAAAAGAAGAATCTCCTTTTGCTTGACATATGGAAATTGGATAAGGCATGGCAACTTGGCAATGATAAGTTTTGAAAATATTACCTAAGCTCATTCTAAGTTTATAATAAAGTACTTTTTATTTTATTTGCTTTTATAGTATGTGTTTTTTAACTGTGCTATTCAATATATATAAAGGTTATTTATATTTATAAGGTATTTTTTTAAAAAAATAAAACACAGTTTGGAAATAAAAAAAAATTATAAATTTATAAAAAAATAAATTGTAATTACTAAAATTTGAATATCAAATTTATTAAATATTACATTTTAAAAATTATTATATGCATTAATCTATATAAGTTTCGGATTCTTATAATGCATTTTTTAAATTGTTAAAAAAATTAAATACAAATAGAACTTAAAATATTCATGATAGTATTATAAAAAGAATATTATTGATAATAAAAGATACAAAATTATCTTTTATTTTCTTTAATTATCAAGTTTTTTTCCTCATAGAACAATAAAATCACACACATATCTATGTGAACCATGCCGTAGTTTGTTTCTCCTATGAAAAGCAACTCAAAACTATGAACAAAAAGCTAAAGTAGAGAAAAAAATTTCAACCCAAGTAGTTAATTTGCAAAACAAACCTAATCTAGTCTATCAAAACTCAATAAGCTAAGTACTACTCCCTATATTGAAATAAAAATATAAACCAAAAAAAGGAAACTCATACAAATTCAACCAAAAAAAGCAATTCACATTACCATTTCACCAAGAAAGAATAATCATTAAAGGAGAAAAGAAATTGATTATTACTATTATTTTTTTAACAAAAGAATTAAAAGGGAATATTCATTAAACCATGAAAAGAAAAGGAAAAAAAATCTCAGATCATGCAATATTATGAGAGTCAACCTAGATTTTTTTTATGGCAAGAAACACAAACCCATACCAGATGAGAAGTGAAATTACCTTAGGCTTTTCTTTCAAACAATGTTGCACACAAATTGAGAAAATGATCTTTTTTTTTCTCCTTGAAATCACATTAAGCTTATGGTGCTTCAATTGATCGTAAACACTATCGTACTTAAACATGTAAGTCTGTACAAATACAATTATTAAATCACATCCATAATCAAATCATTAAGTAACAAATCAAAATGATTATTCATTTTCACTCATTCTTTTTAGATTAGGCACGTCTGTGATAAGCTCTATTAATCCAGTTTTCACAACTCAGAAATAAACCCAAACCTTGCACACAATTAAGTTAGAATTCAAAGTAAATACACCCAACAAAGACAACAGAATCAAGCAATAACACAATCAGAAGCAAATTCAAATTAGTGAAAATACAAAAAAAGAAACTTGGTGAGCTTCGATTCTTGGATTTTCCTTTAGAATTTCTAGGCATTTGGCTCTTTTGAAGGTTTTGATTCTTGGGTTTTCCTTTGGAATTTCTAGGTATTTGGGTCATTTAACTTGTAGAAAAAAGATAGTAGATCTTAGGTGGTTTTGGGTGATCTCGACGAATCAAAATAGGGGACAACAGTTAGGGGATCTGGATTCTATAACAATCAGCCAATTTATGGGTTTTTGTTCTTAGGTTGTTTAATGTTTTAGAGAGAAGGTACGAAAAAGGAGAAGAAAAAGATAACAGAAAGAAGGAAACAATGACAACTAGCAGTAGCCAACATTGGCACCGACAATGACAAGTTCGTTGGGTTTTGGGGTAAGTTAATCGGTTCTGAAAACATTGTGAGAATAAAATTAGATTTTAAAAAGAAAGGAAGATATTGTAAGAAGCAAATGAAGCGCCTTTGAATAAAAGTAGATGTAGCTTGGAAAAGCTTTCTTTAAGACCAAAATTACCCTTAAAATTATTTTTCCTTTGCTAAGTTGTCCCTTTAATAGAAGCTTTTAATATAAATAATAGATATTCTCAAAACTATTTTTTTGATATGATACTTTTTAAAATGTTTTCTTATATACTAAAGTATTTGTTTGATAAGCTACTATTATTTAACTCAAAGTCACTCAATTTTGGTGAGATTTAAATAAGACATCTTACATTCAAGTGTAGTACTAAAAATTTGCTTCTTAAAACAAATAAGCTAATTACTTTAGCAATTTCTTTTCATCAAATTGATCTACTTATTGTATTAAATGTTTTTATAAAGGTTAATATGTAATTAAAATATATTGGTTTGTATGTATATAAACATTTTCAATTATAAAAGAGTTTTCATGAAAGCATAAAAGTAAAAACTCGAAGTAAGAATGTCTTTTTTTAAAGAAGCCAAATACAATGGAAGCAATTAAGCATGAGAAAAATTTTTTAAAAAAATATTGTAAAGAAAAAGAAGTTTAGTGAAAAAAATAATAAATAATTTCAAAATGCACATATATAGAGACTTGGTATTGTTTGTTAAATTGAAAATTTTAATATAAAAAAATTAAGTGTAAAATTTTTTACTTTGAAATAAATTCATACTAAATTATCATTTGGTATATTGTCAAAAATTAAATATTGAATAGATATTTTCTTTATTTTTTTGTAAAAGTAAAATGTGATTTTATTAGGATTTGACATTAATTAAATTTCCTTTGAAAAATATTAATTAAAATTGGAAAAGAAATAACACATAATTAAATGGAAAATTATAACATTAGTGTTATTAAATTATAAAAATTTCCTTAAATAACATTGTTGAATATACTAAAAAGGTTTTATCTACATTATATTTTTCAAATTTTTTAATAAAAATATTCCACTAATTGGTTTTCTTAAATAAATATTCAAACACCTCAAAGAAATTAAAGTATTAAAAAGATTAATTAATTTTCAATTTTACAACATTAACCTAGGTAAAAATTTTGAAAAGAAACTAAAAAATTAGGTAAAGATTTATTTTAAAAAACTAATACGACCAAGAAACCATAATGGAAAAATTGAAAAGAATTGAAATAGCAAAAAATAACCATCCCAATTTAATTTTGACAATGTCAATGTATTTATAACTATTAAAACATCATAAATTGTATGCATCGATGTGTTTGCTTAAGTGATTGCACTTAAAGTTTAGCTTTTTCATGCTCATTTTTAGTGTAATTTAATTCATATTTTGGCTTGTTCCTTGGCATTTTTTGCAAAATTGCTCCTAAATATACATTATTCTCATGTGTAGGTACAAATTATGAAATTGAGGAATTTTGGACAATGTTGATACATTTTTGGAGGATTTTTGGTACAATTTGTGCAAGTAGCCTAAACTAGCTTAATAAGCAAAATTGACATTAAGAAAAAAAAAGAAAAAATATATGAAAGATGAATGAAGGATGCTTGGACGTGCATGGTGCATGAATTGAACACCAAAAGTGTAAAAAGTTAGCTGGGATTAAAGGCACCAAATAGCTTAGTTAAGTTGACAATTCAGAGAGTTTTCATTGGCTATAATTTGGACTTTTTGGAATTGGCAAAATGCATAAGGAAGGCTTGCAAGGCTTGCAATTAAGGAAGAACAAAAAAGGCTACAAATAGCCATACACCAAGTGTAGAAGCGAGGATGAAAGAAGTCTTTAGAAGCTCACCTTATTATAGATATTTTGGAGAGATATTTTAGGTCTTCATTCACCATTCACATGCCTATAAATAAGAATGGAGCTAGCCATTTTAGAAAGACTTTACCTTAGGATTTTATTTTTTTTGTTATTTAATTTTTGCACTTTTTTTACTGTATTTTACTTTCTCAACAACTAAATAGCCTTTGATTATCATGTTTGTCTATTGATTTTGATTGCACTTTGATGTTTCCTCAAGTATTTTTCAATCTTTTTTACAATTTTGGCAATGAAACTTGTAAGTTTTATTGATTTCTAGCTAAAATCTACTAATTTTTCATTGATACTCAAATTTATTTTTGAATATGCTAGTTCTCGCCTAACTACAAATTTTTGATGATATCTCATTCAAATTTTACTTGTTTTGTTCAAAATTTTTTCATAGTTTCCTAATTCAATTAGCTACAACATATTAAAAATTGAGTTGCAAACTCACACCATAATGTTCTAGATCAAGCTCAAAAAATCTAGCTGGATGCAATGACAATGTAATTCCAGTTTTCTTCTAGCAAGTTTGGTGTGAAATTGCTCTCTCATTGGCAAGTTGTTTGCCTTTTTTTCACTTTAAATCCCTAGTTTTACTTGTTTACATGTTGATTCTTACTTGATTCAATTTATTTCTTTACATTTCATTATTGTATAGATAATATTTTTTAGATAATGTTCTGATTTTTCAGATTTTACACTATTTTTGAAATTGAGTTTGTCGAACTGATTTCTTTATTGATTCATGCTATTTCTTATTGATTTAAGTAGTTAGTTAATAGATCTAGGTTGTTTTAGCTTAGATGAAGTTATTTTCCAGTATGATCACATCTTAAATTTTTTTTTGTTGCAATTTTCATGTGGTTCCAACATAGATCAGATTTGGAATTGGTTTTTGTGCACTATTTGTGTAATTTTATGCATGTTTTCTTCTTCAATTTTATTTTTCATTTAGTCTTTTATTCTCTCATTCAAATTCCAA